TCACATATAATAGCAGTACCACCGCTGCGTACCCCACCAGCAATGGGCACTTTACTCGACTGTGGCCGCATCACTGAGCGTGTTGTGCCAGACAAGGACTGATCAGTGATCGATTTCGTCAGCTGAGCTCAGGAGTTTTCCTACTAATTCTACGGATTTCCATACAAATTTGAGTACGAATTAGTATCTCGAAATTTTCTCAGAATTTCCATATTGTGACCGACATATGTAGCACGCTGCACATGACCATTTTCAATTCCCTCAAAGAATAGTTGCTCGGCTTACCTCTGCCTTCCTCCACCCCCAGCAGGCTCTATGATAGCATACGGCTCGAAGCCCACCACATCAGTGACAGTACCATCATCAACATAGTACAGGTACTTACCTACACGATGTGACAGAGGAGTGGTACGGAATAAATCACCCTTTCGACTTACCCTTTCGATCCAATGGTATTTTCTCTTGTTCCCAACCGTCACCCTTCAAACTCACAAAGGCCCTGTCCTTGGCCATTCTCGCGTTATTGGTAGCAACATGCACGCTGATATCAGTGAGCCTTCGTTCCTCACCAACACCAATTCTAACCGGCTTAGTCGGCTCCTTAGACCGCCCCTCATGATCATGTGTTTCCCACGTCACCAACAGCTGTGAGCCACTCAGGTTCCTAATGCTGTATGGGGCGTACTGCAGTTTATCCCCGCCCTCGCTGCGGCCCCCAAGCGGCCTCTCGTCATTCCAAACCCGACCGAATTCCCTCATATTCTGTTCAAAAGCCTTCAGAAATGCCTGACTTATGTTCAGCATCAACAGCTGATGGGTAGCCTCCACAGAGAAGTCTTTCTTATCGCTCGGCCGGCCCCCCTGGACCACTCCAATGTCTTCTGTTTTATCAGAACTTTATACATGCTCAAACTCTCATCAATGGTACCGTTGCTCTGTGGATCAACCGCCTCACTTTCAAGTAGAGGCTCCCAAGCTACCGCCACAGGGTTGAAGAATTGCATCGCAACTTCAACATTAGCAGCAATAGATGCTCTCCTCGTGACCAGCACTCCGGTCCCTTCTTGTGACCTCCGCTGAGTCGACTCTTCTCCACCAGCAGGTTCCCGAGGCGACTCCTCATCAGAATCAATAGCGTCCAGACTGATGCCATCATCAGTAGTGCTGTTGTTATGCGTGATTTGACAGTTACTAAACAGAATGTTCACAAAGGGCGTGTTGGTGGTCTTGCCAGAGTCGTTCACAAGGGTAACATTGAGCCGATGGAAAATACAGTCATAGTCCGACTTGTACACCGTACACACCTTCTCAACCTCAGAAGCCGCAATACTCGAGGGAGTAGTCTCCGAGATCTCTTCCTCACTCTTGCTCTCTTGCTTTTCCTCAACGCCCTCACCATCAGTCAACGCCAACAATGGTCCTGCCTCCTTGTCCTCCTCCTCCATAGTAGAGGAGGAGTCCTTCATGAGGAGCTGATAGCACTTCAAGCCTAGCCTTATGTCGTGGTAACTCACGTTCAAGCGGATCGGTTCGAAATTGAGGTGGACGGACCTACTCTCTGTCACCATTTTCTTCTTCTTATCACCACCACCAGACTCAGCCGTCTCAGTGAGGATACTAAAGAAAGCATCACAATCACTCAGGATGGCTCTAGCTCCACCGTCACCAACAG